GGGGGGGCCCAGCGCCCCCGGACCGAGGGCCCCGGAAGTCCTAAGCTGAGGGGCCCAGAGGGGCCGGAGCGACTCCGGACTGAGAGGCCCGGACGCCCAGGACCCCGACGAGGGGTCCGGGGATCCCGGGGTATCCCTAGAGGCGGGGCCCGGGGAGCAGCTGGCCCTTGGATACAGAGCTTGGGAGGGGCCTGGGTCGCGCTTGGCCGGGGGTGGGGTGGGGGAGGTGGGGGGAAGTAGCGGGTGGGTACGAAAGGTGAAGGAAGCCTGCACGCCCGCCCGGGAGGAGACCCTTGGAAGCTTGGCGGGGGAGAAAGAGCGGAGAGTGGGTTCTGCGGAGGGAAGGAGGCCCGAGTTTCACCCGAGGGGCGCATTAGAGGCCTCGGCCTTTCAGTCCAGGGGAAAAGAGGCAGGTGCTGTTCCGAAGGCGTGGTGACAGTATGGGTGGTGTGAGCAGGGGACGAGGAAGAAGAGCTCCAGGGGAAAGTGAACAGGCCCCTGCCTTCCCGGAGATGAGGGGGCGGTAGGAAGACGCCTCAGCCTCCTCAAGTAGGAAGGGGAAGGGTCCAAACCTGTGAGGGAATGAGAGACTGAGGATCTTCTGAAGTATATAGGTAGAGAACGGAACAGTCTGGTATGTCAGGGGGTGGGAAAACCCGTGTTTTGGAGGACCGGAGAGAAGATAATTGAGGGGAAGAAATGACATTTCTACTTTGAGAAATGACAGGGGAATTGGCCAGCTGTCTCCTAATTGAGGGGCAGGAACGGTGAGAGCAGAATCTTACCTGAGAGTCCTGGAGAGTGATCCACCAGACCAGACTAAGGCGTGTCAAGCCTTGACCTAGTAGGGATGGGGGGCGGGGGCGGTGCAGGGCTTGACCGTCCAAGGAACAGGAGGAGGTCTGAATTCTCTTAAGATGAGAGAAATCTGAAAAGTACTTCCTAACAGACACAGAAAGGGCCTTGTTTGGTGTCTATTTAGGAGAACCAAGAACTGGGTTTCCTCAACCTAGGGATTGGGGAAAGGGAGGATCAGATCGTTCTAGACTCTCAGAGGGATTCTTCTCCCTTGCCTCTGGCAATGCTACCAAAGTGCTTTTGGAGGACCTTTTCATTAAATGTTTGGACTGTCTTCCCTAATTCGTAAGCCTTTTATCAATTATGGATATTTAATATATACTTAGTATATACTGACTTGATGACTTTTTTCATTAGTCATGAGTCAACCATTCGTATTTACCTCAACAAACATATATTAAGTAGCTAATTTGTACTCAACTTCATTGGGTTAGCTTGGGCCCTAAATTGCTCTTGTCCTAGGCAGAAGTCCCCTAGAGTCTAGTGTGATGACGCTTCAAAGAACCCTTTATCCCATTGCTTCCCCAAACACCTATATAGTAGTCTTCAAAATGTGACCTGTCCCAAACTTCATTTGCTTTGGCTCTGTCCCTCACAGTGGTCCTGTGTAGCCTTCTTGTCGGCTTTATTACATTTGATAGCACCCTGGATCACCTACTGAATGCATGAGAAGGAATAAAGAAGGAAAAAATCAAGGAGTTTTGGCCTCAAGTAATAAAGTTTTAATTTTATTGATTATATTGATGATTATATAATTCATTATAACTTGGGAATTTCTTAATAGACTACACAATCTACAAAAATTATAATACAGTATGGAATAAATACATTCTGGGGTTGGAAAGTTTCAGGGTATCTATTTCTTTCACCTTTTCCACTATCAACTCCGATGTCCCTGCAATCATGTGACACTCATGATTTTGCCACGTTTTAAACGTTAGTTTTCAGGGGTGCCTGGCTGGCTTAGTCGATGGAGCGTGGAGCTCTTGGTCTCGGGGTCATGAGGTTGAGCCCTGTGTTGGGTATAGAGATTACTTAAAAAAAAAAAAAAAAAAGAAACCTTTGTTTTCAGAACACAAAAAATGAATTTAATCTCGAGTAGGTCAGATGTCATTTGTTTAGTTTTCCAATAGTTATGTCAATGGTCATGTGCTTACTCTTGATCAAGGTGTCTTTTTTGTCTTTGAAAAGAACTACAAAATAATTTTTTTTTCACGTGGATGTGACATCTTTCCTTTATATGTGTTCCCCTAGAATCACAGTGTTGTGTGATTACACAGTGAATACTCTAAGGCCCCTTCCATGAAATACCCAAAGGAGCAGCTCAGTCATCTCGCCTCAGGAGTTTTTGTTGCTATAAACAAGAGCCACTTTTCAGATCATACTCACCTCAAAGAGATGACCTTTCAGTTAGCCAGTGTAGTCTGTAGAGTCTGGTTTCAGGTTACTTGTTAAGAATGTGGTATTTAGGGGGCGCCTGGGTGGCGCAGTCGGTTAAGCGTCCGACTTCAGCCAGGTCACGATCTCGCGGTCCGTGAGTTCAAGCCCCGCGTCAGGCTCTGGGCTGATGGCTCAGAGCCTGGAGCCTGTTTCCGATTCTGTGTCTCCCTCTCTCTCTGCCCCTCCCCCGTTCATGCTCTGTCTCTCTCTGTCCCAAAAATAAATAAACGTTGAAAAAAAAATTAAAAAAAAAAAAAAAAGAATGTGGTATTTAGGGTAATGAGATATATTCAACCTAAACTTGCTTCTCTAAAGAATGTAAGAGTTGTCATGTTGGATCAGACCTGTGTCTCTTACTGACACTGAGAGACATATTGTGGATGATTGTAATTACCTTCTCGGATAAACTCAGAAGGTTAGAGAACATTCCTCTTGGGTTCTAAGGAGTAGGAGGGCTAAGGAGTAAAATATGAGTTCCTATTGAGGAAAGTATTAATCAAGTAGTTAACCACTTATTCAGAGTATTGTAGAGAGGACTCAACCTTAGGGTGGAAGGTTAAAACTAGAAGCATCCTTCTAATTCTCCTCCTGTAACCCATTTATTTACCTAAGTTAATTAAAAAATTTTAAACCACTGTTTTAATTTTTTTTTTAATATTTATTTATTTTTGAGAGACAGAGAGAGGCAGAGCATGAGCAGGGGAGGGAGAGAGAGAGAGAGGGAGACACAGAACCCGAAACAGTCTCCAGTCTCTGAGCTGTTTGTTAGCACAGAGCCCAACACGGGGCTTGAACCCACGAACTGCGAGACTATGACCTGAGCTGAAGTCGGACGGTCAATTGACTGAGCCACCCAGGCACCCCTAAAACACTGTTTTAGAATAATAATTTCACAAGTATGTTACATGCTAAAGTATTATATCTTTTAAATTCATTAAGTATGTAATAACAGAATAGTGCTTGACAATAAATGTCCAACAAATGTTAGCTGTGATTATTTTAATTCAAGCTTTATTTATTTATTTATTTATTTACTTACTTATTTAGAGGGAGAAGCAGAGGGAGACAGAGAATCTTAAGGAGGCTCTGTGCTGTTGCAGATCAAGCTCCAAGCTTGATCCCAAGACCCTGGGATCATGACCTGAGTCAAAATCAAGAGTCGGATGTTCAACTGACTGAGCTACCCAGGCACTCCCAAGCTACATTTTAATGGTTCAAAATTTGAAGATACCTATTGGTTCGATTATTGTAGGATTTGATAGCATTTGTTATGCCTCATTGTATCCCTTTTTGTCTTTTTCTAGACTCTAAGGTCCTAATTGTTTTGATTCTACTGTTGGCAGCCAGCTGAACCAGTCCATTGATTTTGTTTTAAAACAGTTTTTTTAATGTTTATTTATTTTTGAGACAGAGAGAGACAGAGTGTGAGCAGGGGAGAGGCAGAGAGAGAGGGAGATACAGAATCTGAAACAGGCTCCAGGCTCTGAGCTGTCGGCACAGAACCTGATGCGGGACTCGAACCCACGAACTGCAAGATCATGACCTGAGCCGAAGTGGGGCGCCTAACCAACTGAGCCACCCAGGTGCCCCTCATTGATTCTGTTTTTTTATCCCTAGTTTTAAACCTTTAAATTATAGAAGTTCAGATAGTGTACTGTAATATCTTACAATTAATTTTTTTCTCTCGTATGCATCTCTTTTCCTTGTTTAGTTCCTGAAGAGCAGGTACTCTCCCTTTTCATATCCAAAGTAGACAGTTTTGTAAATAGTAGTCTGATATTTGAAAACTGGTTATTGTACTCCTGTGTCATGGGTACTGAGCTAAGGGTAGGGGAGCCGTTGAAAAAGAAAGGCAATCTTTGCTCTCCCAGGATATAGTCTGGTGGGGAGAGGCTGACAAAGTGGGATGATGGTTATGACAGGGGTGCTGTAGGTACTAAGAACACAATCTCACATCTAGTCAAGGAAGTCACAGGCCTCCCTGAGGAAGTTATTTATTTATTTAAAGTAAACTCAATGTGGGGCTTGAACTCATGATTCTGACATCCGGAGTCTCTTGTTCTAGCAACTGAGCTAGCCGGGTGCCCCAGGAAGTAATGTTTTAAATAAGTTATAAAAGTTTAGCAGTGACTAGCCAAAAAGGAAGGAAAAGAGAATTCTAGGTAGAAAGAGGAAACAAGCGTGAAGGCTCAGGTGAGGAAATATGGCATGTTTGAGAAATTGAAAAAAAAAAAGTGTGTGTGGGGGGGCATCTGCTCAGTCAGTTGAGTGTTCAACTTCGGCCCAGGTCATGATCTTGCAGTTCATGGGTTCGAGCCCCGCGTCGGGCTCTGTGCTAGCAAACAGCTCAGAGCCTGGAGCCTGCTTTGGATTCTGTGTCTTCCTCTCCCCCACTTGCACTCTGTCTCTCTCTCTCAAAAACAAATATTAAAAAAAAAAAAAATTCAATGACAGGAGACCACAATGTGATAGGAAGAACTATGAGAAGTGAGGTTAGCAGCGTAGATGGGACAGATTTGGAGGATTCTATAGGCACTGTTAAGATGCTTGCACTTTTTAATAGCAAAGGGAGTCCTCTGAAGGATTCTGAAATGGGGAAATGGCTTGTGGCCTTTAGTAAGATCACTTTGTCTCCTCTGTAGATCATGGAGTGGAGAGCAAGATCAGAGATAAGGATACTGATGCGAAGCAGCTGGAAAAAATCAAGTGGTAGTGTGTGGCTCAGAATATGGTGGCAGCACAGATGGAGAATGGGGGATGGTTAAAAGAGAAATATAGATGATAGAATGGATAGGATTTGGTAGTTGATTAGATTTTATAAAGAGAAGAATGAAAAGTAACTCCTTAGTTTCTGGCTTGAGAAAATGGGTGGAGGATAGTGCCATTTACTGAGGAGGGAAACGAGCAGGTTTGTGAGAGAACATGAGTTCAGTTTAAGGTGCTTACAAGATAAATTATAAGAGGCTTTTGGGTACAGGTGGTAGAGAATTCAGGAAAGAGGTTTGAATGTGAGAATCACAAAAGGCAGAAGCGTAAGTCTGCTACGAGCAATTTTAACTAGATTATATACAAACAAAAATTGATTGAACCAACATGTCAGTGCCATGATGATCAGGGCTGTGGAGACCAGCTTTTTAGAGAAGCAGCACCTGCCCTCATAGAGAGTATAGTGCAGTTATGGAGATAGAGGTCTGTTCAGTTAACGACAATACAGAGCACAGTGTGATAACCACTAGAGGAAAGCTACATGTGAAGTGTTGGGGGACTGTAGAAAAGAAAATGGCTTGGCAGGGCCTCTGTGGAGGAGTGGGCTTCGAACTGGGCCTTGAAGGGAGACTGAGATGAGGGAGAAGAGAGTTTGGGCTTAAGGAATAACAAAGGTCTAAAAACCTGAAGGTACATATTGTCTGTTCAGAGCACGGGCAGAGGCTGGGTTGGCTGGCACTTCAGATTCTCAGGGAATTACTGTTGCAGATAAAACGGGAAAAATATTTTGGGGCCAAATGAGGGAGACTTTGCTTGCTGTGCTTACGTATGCATATTATAGGCAATATGAGCCACGATGTGGATTCAGTTGTCTGATTATCAGTCACATATTCAAATGTGTGTCCACCGTGTCCCTACACGTGAAAGTAAACACAGTGCTCTTAACCTGTACTCTTTTTAGTGACTCCCTTCTTTGCAACTGTGAGGACTAACTACTGCAGAATATTCTGGGGCCCTCTGAGTTTTCGTTAAAATTGGGATGATGCTGGGACACCTGGGTGGCTCGGTCGGTTAAGCGGCTGTCCCTTGATTTTTGGCTCAGGTCATGGTCTGCACAGGTCATGATCTCACAGTTTGTGAGATTGAGCTCCACATCGTGCTGACATTGAGGAGCCTGTTTAAGATTCTTTCTCTCTTCCTCTCTGCCCCTCCCCTACTTTCTCTATCTGAAAAATAAATAAACTTAAAAAAAATGGGGATGATGCTTTGAGTTATGTTAGAGTCGAGGAGCACATGGTGTTGGACACTGGTTTCCCCAACAAGTCTGCAAGGGAGATTTCAGGCAAGATCATCTCTCCATTCAGTCTGAGGCAAAGAGGTAGTAAGAAACTTCTAGAGGTCATACAGTTGGATTCAGTATTTATTAAACAACCACACAATGCAAATCATTTTTCTTCCTGTACAGTTTCAGTTAGCAGATACTTATGAAGTGCTCACAAAGTACAGAGTGCTTGGTGAAGCATAATGTCTGGTTGCAAAGAAAAGAGGTGATTCTTACTCTCTAGGAGTTTACTGATGGGGTTGGAACTAGTGGTGTGCTATAAATCAGTTCTCCAGAAAAAAAAAAAATAACCCTGATTTGTAGTGCTTGCCAATTTCTGTGGTGTATGTACTCCCAGCATCACTGATTTCAAGCTACCAACTTGCTGTCACTAAACTCAGATTTGGGAAGAGACGTGCACAATTGGTTCTCAGGAGCAGGCTCCAGCACAGCACTGGGTGAATCACATATACTAAGAAAACCTAAATCAGTAAGTGAGTACGAAAGCATGTCTGGAAAGATCAGAGCCTGTCAGCCCCTTCTCACAGTTCCCATCCTTTTCAGAGGACCGTGATCTTAGAATGGGTAGTCTTAGTTATCCTGATGTTCCTTTCCTAGGGTTGCTATCTTTTCAAAACCAGACAGTCACTGATGCTTCTTGTTTCTGACAACAGCCCAGCTATCTGACTTCATGTGAAAGATGGCTAATGCAGAAGTAAGTGTTCCAGTGGGGGATGTGGTTGTGGTTCCCACTGAAGGAAATGAAGGGGAGAACCCTGAAGACACTAAAACCCAAGTGATCTTGCAGTTACAGCCTGTGCAGCAAGGGTAAGTAACCAAAGATTTGGGCAGTCTGAAAAATTTGGGAGGTTTAAAGAGTGCGGAAATTTTAACTTTATGGTTGCTTAGCACAATGGAACATTTAGCACCGATCTTTCAGAACATATTTATAATGTATCGTGTGCTCTATTTGTTATTTTAATACTTATTACAACAGTAAACTGTGTCTTTGTCTCTCTCCCTCTTCTCTACTGTAAGCTCTTTGAGGGTAAGTTACATAGCTCCCTCTTCTTATTTATCCACACAGTTTAGCATAGGGACTTGATACATGTTTACCGAAAGACAGTGTAGTTAGAGTCAGAGGAGATTAGGCAAGGCAACTGCAAAACTTTTCCTACCAGAAGGGATCTGGACCCTAAAGGATGGACAAATTAATCAAGCTTAGTTAATCAAATAATTACAAAGTGTTACAAAGTGTTGGAAGTATATTACAAAGTGTTGGAAGAAATACAGCACATGGTTCCCACCATCATGGAGCTTGCAGTCTAGTTGTACAAACCAAAAATACGTATATGTAAATAAAGAAGTCACTTACATGGCAAAATCTAAGAAGTGCTGAGTGTCATGGTTAGAAAGAAGCTTGAATTCAGAGGATCACTATGAATTTGAAAGAAGAGATAAGATTTTTAAATGGTCTTGAAGGTTAAATAAGAATTAGATCTACAGAGAGAAGGGAGAGAGAGTTATTTTATCTTGAGGAATGTATAAGACATTCTTCATAGGATTAGAAATGTTCTCGGGGTGCCTAGCCAGCTCAGTCAGTGGCGTGTGCCACTCTTGATCTCAGGGTCTTGAGTTCAAGCCCAATGTTGGGTGTAGAGATTACTTACAAAAAGAAAAAGAAATGTTCTTGGGCAAACACATAATCCAATCCCAATCTACTAAGTAATGTACCTTGTCTTCAACACTTCTGGAGAAAGATAGTTAACCTCTCTCTTGGTAACATAGAAAACTTTTTAGTGTAAGAAATTTCATCAGGTGCCTGGGTGACTCAGTCAGTTAAGCGTCTGGCTTAGGCTCAGGTCATAGTCTTGAGGTTCATGAGTTCTAGTCCTGCATTGGGCTTTCTGCTGTCAGCAAACAGCCTGCTTTGGATCCTCTGTTTCCCTCTCTCTCTGCCCCTCCCCCACTAGCATGCAGTCTCTCTCTTTCCCTCTCTCTCTCTTTCAAAAATAAACATATATATATATATATATATCTCCATAGTTTGCTAACATTTCTGAATATTGAAGGAAATATTCTAAGATCTGTAAGGGAAAGTTGATATAAATAATTACTGACAGGGGCACCTGGCTGGCTTAGTAAGTGGAGCATGTGACTCTTTATGTCAGGGTTGTGAGTCCAAGCCCCACTTTGGGAGTAGAGCTTACTTAAAAAAATAAAATCTTTAAATAATAATAATAAGTATTGACATATAATGGATAAAGTGATTAAAAATTTTAATCAATTAAGTGGCACCAAAAGATTATGCATACTTATTCAAAATCACTTGTTTGGGATTTCATTTGTTACATACACACACATACTTGTAGTTGTTACCCTTTGAGGAAGGGTAACATGAGGAAAATTCTTTTGTGCATGGCAGCTTTATTTTCTCCTGGAATCATTGTTTCTTCTATCTTTTCTAAAGTGCTCCAGTTGTCGCTTTCCTATCCCTTCTGGAGACAGAAAACGCTTCTCAACTACTTAGAGACTTAATTATTTTGAAGATTAGTTCCACTTATTTTGTGTGTGCATATGTCTTTTTTAATTTTCCAAATGGCATTGTCTTTTCGGGAAAATTCTCGTTGCCTGATTAGACATCTTTGTACTACATATGGACTCCCCAACCTGCTGGGGTTTTTTTGTTTTGTTTTGTTTTAATTTTTTAAAATATTTTTTTTTTTTTTTTTTTTTGAGACAGACAGAGACAGAATGCGAGTGGGTTGGGGCAGAGAGAGAGGGAGGCACAGAATCTGAAGCAGGCTCCAGGCTCCGAGCTGTCAACACAGAGCCTGACGCGGGGCTCGAACTCAGAAGCTGCGAGATCATGAACTGAGCTGAAGTTGGTCAGATGCTCAACCAAGTGAGCCACCCAGGCGCCCCTCCCCAACCTACTGTTTACACTGAATTTACCATATAAGCTAGTGATACATTTTCAGGTTCTGCATTTTGAGATGCCTGCCAATCAATATTTAATTGATTTCTCTAGTTATATTTTTTTAAATTAATTTATTTTTAAGTAATCTCTGAGCCCAATGTGGGGCTTGAACTCACAACCCCAAGATTGAGAGTCCTAGGTTCCACTGATTGAGTCAGCCAGGGGCCCTGTATTTTTTAATTATTTGGATATTTTGTTGCATTTTAGCAGAGAACAGGAATATTGATACTAGTGATAAGAAGTGCAGGTGTGAAATAGAGGTTTCCACTTACGGAATGAATAAGTCACATCATAAAAGGGACTGCATTAAGGAATATAGTCAGTGATAATTGTAATAGGGATGTATACGGACAGATGGTAGCTACATTTGTGGCAGGCAGCATAATGTATAAATTTGTCGAATCCATTTTGTTGTACACAGTGAAACTAATGTAATACTATATGTCAACTATACTCCCCACCCAAAAAAAAGGTATAGGCCTCATCAATTTAATACTGTTGAGACAAAGATAGAAATCATGAGGTCTTTAGCCTCAGTCACACGTAACCTGATTGGCTACAGATTCAAGCATGAGGGAAAGAAACGATCAAAGAACATGTATGAATTGCTGGGAATAAATTGGAAAAGATATTCAAAAGGCAAAAAATAGAGATTTTCTATAAATGTTTTTTACTGTTTATTTTTGAGAGAGAGAGGCAGAGCGCAAGCTGGGGAAGGGGAGAGAGAGAGGGAGACACAGAATCTCAGACAGGCTCTGAGCTCTGAGCTGTCAGCACAGAGCCCAATGCAGGGCTTGAACTTTCGAACTGCAAGATTATGACCTGAGCCAAAGTTGGTTACCTAGTTGACTGAGCCACCCAGGCACCCCTCTATAAATATTTTTAGATTTCAATATATAGAACTCCTCTTGTATGTCTTTTTTAACTTTTACATATATGATATTTTATACTTTATCAAGTATGCATTATATACATGTTTCCAGGAATACATTATCAAGCAAAAGTAGCGTGTTTGGTAATGTTCTCTTGATATAAATACATAGAATCTGACATACTGAATAAGATGACACTTTTTTTTTATGACACTTTCATAATAACACTAAATTGGCTTTAAAATATGTCCACATTTAACTCTATTATTATTTTTTTAATATAGATACTAAAGTATCTAGAAGGCTTTTAATCCTAGGAGATTTTCAGCATAGAAGATTTGTTCGGCATGTGCTTTCTCTAAAAAAAATAAAATGGCTATTAACTTTTTCAAATGTAATTTCTTATACTCAAAAAGTTGTGGGAGCAGGGGGTACCTGGCTGGCACAGTTGGTAGAGCACATAGTTCTTGGTCTCAGGGTTGTGAGTTCAAGCCCCACATTGGGCATAGAGCTTAGTTTAAAAAAAAAAGTTATCAAGGGGAGTGAAGGTACTATGATTCCTTCATTGTTCTTGGCTGTCCAATTCATTTTGGATTCATAATAGTTTTTTTTTTTTAATTTAATTTAATTTTTTAATTTACATCCAAGTTAGCATATAGTGCAACAATGATTTCAGGAGTAGAGTCCTTAGTGCCCCTTACCCATTTAGCCCATCCCTCCTCCCACAACCCCTCCAGGAACCCTCAGTTTGTTCTCCATATTTAAGAGTCTTTTATGTTTTGTCCCACTCCCTGTTTTTATATTATTTTTGCTTCCCTTCCCTTATGTTCATCTGTTTTGTATGGATTCATAATAGTTTTTAACATCACCAGGGACTGGTGATTTTAGTGTACTACGTAAATTTACTGAGCGTCCTGACTAGCTTTTTTTTTCTCCTGTAGAGGACATTCAATCCAAATGTATTGGAATAGTTCAGTTTGAAGAGTATTGGCCCTACTTTCCCTTTCATGCTCAGATCCCTCTCTCCCTCTCTAGCAGAAAGTTTAAAGCCTATATTATAAGCTCTTTCAAATCAGTAAGGTACCACTTAATTTATGTAATAATCTTAACCTAACGTTCAGTTAATCAGAATTTCTTCCCTTAACATTCTGGATAAAAAGAACTTAACTATAGGGGCACCTGCATGGCTCAATTGGTTAAGCATCTGACTTTGGCACAGGTCGTGATTTCACAGTTTGTGGATTCGAGTTCCGCATTGTGCTCTGTGCTTACAGCTCGGAGCCTGGAGCCTGCTTTGGATTCTGTGTCTCCCTCTCTCTCTCTCTGCCCCTCCCCCGCCTGTGCTCTGTCTCTGTCTCTCAAAAATAAATAAACATTTAAAAAATTTAAAAAAAAGAACTTAACTATATGTGGGTTTTCAGAGAATTAGAATACAATGATGCAGACTTAATTTTAAAGCTCTAGTAAACATAATTTTACCTCCCTTTGGTGATTCACAAGGCATGTCACTATCTTACAGTCCCTTAACATTTCAACATATTTTATGATTTTTTACTATAGTTGTAGTAGATATAGAGAATTAAGCTAAATCCATTACTATTCTGAGTTGCTTTAGGAAATTTTTTCTTTTTCTTTTTTTTTTAAAGTTTATTTTGAGAGAGAGAGCATGTATGCACGTGAGCAAGATGGGGAGGAACAGAGAGAGAGAGAGAATCCCAAGCAGGCTCCATGCTGTCAGCACAAAGCCTGATGTGGGGCTCAATCTCACACACTGTGAGATCGTGACCTGAGCCAAAATCAAGAGTTAGACATTTAACCAACTGAGCCACTCAGGTGCCCTAGAAATTTTTTCTCGATAAAACCTTGTTTACTCATAAAAATATAGACTGTGCACCTACTTCCCACTACAAGTGCAATTCACTGGTTGTTGAAATTATGTATAAATAAGAATTTCTTTTTTTTTTTTTTTAAGTTTATTTATTTTGAGGGAGAGAGAGAGAGAGCATGACAGGGAAGAGGCAGAGAGAGGGAGAGAGTGACAATCCCAAGCAGGCTCCATGCCATCAGTGCAGAGCCTGATGTGGGTGTCCAAATCATGAACCATGAAATCATGACCTGAGCCGAAATCAAGAGTCAGCCACTTAACTGACTGAGCTACTCAGGCGCCCCAAGAATTTCACCCTAAGGAAAAAAAAAAAGGATTTTTGCACATATTGGTCAATTTAGAGTGAGTTTACTGAACTTATTTGAAGCAGTGATTATTCATGTTTATCATAATCCTCATTCACCAACCAACCACTTATTGGGTGCTTTGTTGTGTTCCAGTTAGTATTTGACACAGTAGACATACAAATTGAATAAGTAAATAAGACATAATCTCTGCTCTCAGGGACCTCTTAGACCATGCCCAAGGGAAGGCAGACAGGTAAACAAACATATAATATGAAGTGTTATATGTGTTGTAACAAAGGCATAAAGTACAGTTGGGTCAAAAGAAGGAAGTAGGTGATTATACTGGAGGGACTGATATGGAAGGAAAAGCATCATAGAGGCTACTGACTACAAAGCAAGTAGACGGGCACCTTGCAGGCTCAGTGAGTAGAACGTGCAATTCTTGATCTTAGGGTTGTAAGTTCAAGCCCCATGTTGGGTGTAGAGATTACTTAAAAATAAAATCTTGGGGCACCTAGGCGGCTCAGTCAGTTGAGCTTCTGACTCTTGATTTCGGCTCAAGTCATGATCTCACAGCTCACGGGATCGAGCCCTGTGTTGGCTCTGTGGTGACAGCATGTATCCTACTTGGGATTTTCTCTACCCCTTTCCCCACTCATGTGTGCTCTCCTTATCTCTCACAATAAATAAAATTTAAAATAATAAATAAATAAATAAAATCTTTTTTAAAACCCCACAAATACACAAATAGATGGGGAAGCATGTTCTGGGGAAAGCGGGAAATAAGAACAAAGATAGAAGGTATAAAAGAACATGACAGTTCTGAAAACCACAAATAATTTGGTATGAGTGGGGCTTGGAGTATAAGGTGAGGTTTAGGGAGAGCTGAAACCAGGGGCCAGATCTTAGAGCAACTTAAATATCCTATTAAGGATTTGGGGCTTTATTATAACAGCAAGTAGAGGGTTCTTGAAGGGTTTTCCGAAGGGATTTCTGTGATCACTCTGGTAGGAATATAGAAGATCAGGTGGATGCAAGGAGACTAGTTCAGACTAGAGATGATGCAGCCTAAATTAAGGCAGTAGCAGTGGAAAAAGAGACAGGGAGGCTGGCTGGTGTTAAGGAGATACATCTGGTAGGATTTGGTGACTGAGTATGTGGGAGGTGAGGAGGAGGAGGGAGAAATCTGATGAAATTCCCAGGCTTCTGTCTTAGGCTATAGAATGCTAGGAGGTGCCATTAAGAAAGATAGAGAATAGAAGAGTGGTTTGGGAGAGGGAAGAGAACTTGGTTATTTTAGACATAATGAATTCCACAAAGTCCTGCGGTACATCCAAATGTATTTATTCATTTAGCAGTTAATTGTATCCTGGTGTGAAATTTAGAGGAGAGGTCTGTGCTAAAGGTGTCACCATGGGGGTGGGTGATCACTGATACAAGGGATATTATTCAGGCAGTGCTTTCAAACAAGATGCAATAGTTAATGCATTAAGTTTATTATAAAAATTAAACAGAGGTCATCAGCGTATTTTATTAGGTTATTTGAGCACATTTCTTAGTAGGTAGAGACATTTAGAGACTTTCGCTGAGGTGGTATCTCTAATGCTAGTTACTTTGGGCATAGTTTTTAACTAGGCTCTGCTCATGTCAATAGTTTGGTTATGAGTCTTTGAAAAATGCAGAAGTGCTAAAAAAGACTGAAGTGTCTAGATTCCAACAAAGGACATCAACTTGTGTGGTCAATGGGTTCTTCCTGTCTTGAACTGTCCAACAGTATTACTTTTGAATCTTGCTAGGATAATTCTATAATATGACTTAGTCTTATAGTTGAAGCAACATTTTATGTCAGAAGTGTTTAAATTTAGGAAGGGAAAAGTCTGGCGTAAGGACAGTAGCAAGAGGAACTTGGCTTTGAGGTGAGGAAAGTTGTTGATTCTTGTGCATGGTAGTGGCTGCTAAGCTGTCCTCGGCAGCTTGGAATGTAAATACAGTGGGGAACTAGTCAAAGCACTAACATAGTGTTGTAAAGTGTATTTATTTTATTCCTTTTGAGATAGATTATAAGAAATTTCTTAACTCCATGCTGTGAATATTAATTTTTTCATGATTTATGTAGTTTGTTTATCGATGGACACTTTTACAACAGGATTTATGAACCTGGGTCCGAGAACAACACGGCAGTCGTGGCAGTAGAAACTCACACGATTCACAAAATTGAAGAAGGGATTGGTAAGTCTTTCGTTATTTTCTCGCCTTTGACCCTAGCTTCCTTGAAATTTGTTGCCTTTTATGCCTTATGTCCCCCCTCCCATACCCAGTATGCCCCACCAATGCCGCAGCCATCGATTTGATGGCGCATCTAGAGACACCACTAAGATGCTAGAGCTGTCAGTTGATTGTTTACATCAATTTGCTAGGATGCTGAAAAGATTTTTTTATCTACAAAAATTCCACAAAGAAATTGGAGCCTCAAGGTTGATCCTGTCATTAGAGAAGTTGCTGATGAGGACTTATCAGGTGTTGATTGGAAGGCAATCAGTGGAAAGAAACTGAAACAACAAACAAACAAACAAATTTTGAAATTAGGCAAACCAGATTTTAAATCCTGTTTTCTCACTTCTTAGCTGTGTGTCCTTGGGAAAGTCACTTCACCTTTCCAAGTCCCACATGCCTACATAGGAAACAATCACTGCCTCACAGGATTGTTGTAAGAACTAAATAAGATTAAGCATGTAGAAGCACATAGGACAGTGTCTGACACATAGTGTGAGCTTGGTAAGAAAGCTGGTGTGCCAAACTTCTTGCAGAAGATTCCTAAACAATACCAGCCAATGTGAACTGTTAGCTCCTTAGAGGAACCAGGAAACTAGAGATTTTGAATTAAGCTTTTGGGGGAAAAGTGTTCAATAAATAATTGATATTTTTTTCCGTTTTCAGATGCAAGCACTATAGAAGCAAATGAGGATATGGAAATTGCTTACCCCATAACTTGTGGGGAGAGCAAAGCCATTCTCCTCTGGAAGAAGTTTGTATGTCCAGGAATAAATGTGAAATGTGTCAAGGTAATTGTCTTTTCTCCTTGCTGGGGCCTGTTTTGGGGCCCCTTGTTTTCAAAGAGTATAGTTTCAGTACCTCTTCTCTCTCGTCTACCATATCAGTGTTTTCAGTTTTGTGGCTGTAGTCCCGTGCTGTCACGGTAGAAAAAATTAAGGACTTTGGAGGGAAATTGACCTGGATTCAAGTTCCACGCAGAATACAAGATCTATAAGAGCTGAGAACTTGTTTGTCTTGTTTATCAGTGTATCCCCAGCACCTAGAATGATGTTTGGTATATTTATCAATAAATATTTGTTGAATGAATGAATGAATGAAGTCCCATATCTATGACTGACTAGCTAGGTGACCTTGAATAAGTTATTTAATATTTCAGAGGCTCGTATGTTTTTTTTGTTTGTTTGTTTTTAATTTTTTTTTTTTAACGCTTATTTATTTTTGAGACAGAGAGAGACAGAGCATGAATGGGGGAGGGTCAGAGAGAGGGAGACACAGAATCCGAAACAGGCTCCAGGCTCTGAGCTGTCAGCACAGAGCCCAACGCGGGGCTCGAACTCACAGACCGTGAGATCATGACCTGAGCCGAAGTCGGCCGCCTAACCGACTGAGCCACCCAGGTGCCCCATAGAGGATCGTATGTTAAAATACGAATAATCATATGCACAACACACACACATACTATAAGGTTGCTAGCACATGAAATGAGATAATATGTGTAAAATGCCTTACACAAGTGTGCATTATGGTAGAGGTTATTGAAATTTATCACTGATAAAAATAAATTTTCAGGAGAGCACAATGTGGAAATAATTGCTTATTCTGTCTCCATTGGTAGTCACGACGGTACCCGTAGATAGTAGTCACCTTTGGTATCATCCTAGAATCATGAAGGATTGCAGAATTTTGAAGCTCTGCAGTGATAATGGTTTCTATGCTAGTCTTTCCACTAGCATAGAATCTTGTCATTAGGGCTAGGTAGGTTATTTCAGTTTATTTAAACAGCCTTTGCAACATTGAACCCAAGCACCTGATTTAGGGCATAAATGGATTTCAGATGTTAATCAGTATATTAATCTCTGATCATCCTCGTGTCTTCTGTAGCTTTGTACCAAGACAGGGCACTATGCCCAGGGAAGGGTCATCTTCTCTGGCACAACAGGGCAGAAGGCTGGAAGATACAAGGCTATGACTTAAGATGCCATCTGGGCACTTTTCGTATGTAACAAGTAGAGTTACCTTTCTTTCCCTCTTGGCCTGCGTCAGTTGACCTTGATTTATTTTGGATTTTTTCCTTTTCCTTTAGTTCAATGATCAGTTGATCAGCCCCAAGCATTTTGTTCATCTGGCTGGCAAGTCTACCCTAAAGGACTGGAAGAGAGCCATTCGTCTGGGTGGAATCATGCTCAGGTGAGCTTTTAACAAGCACATACCAGGGTGCCTGGCAGGCTTAGTCAGAAGAGTGTGCACCTCTTGATCTCAGAGCTTCACGTTGAGTACAGAGATTACTTTTTGTTTGTTTTTTCAATTTACTAGATTACTTTAAAAAATTAAAAAATTTAAAAAAATAAGCACATACCTTTCAACTGACTTTGGGGCACTTAATTATGGTAGAATATAGATAATTCCATATTTTCTCTTCAGTTTGAAATTTTTATTCCCTCTGAAGAATTGGCTTGAACAACCCATGTATTGACTTTCATCAGTTTGTTCTTCATTTTTTTTTAAGTTTATTTATGTATTTTGAAACAGAGAGAGTACAAGCAGGGGAGGGGCAGAGAGCAAAAGAGAGAGAGAGAGAATCCTAAGCAGGTTCCGCACTGTCAGCACAAAGCCTGATGTGGGGCTTGAACCCATGAACCATGAGATAATGACCTGAACTGAAACCAACAGTTGGATGCTCAATCGACTAAGCCACCCAGGCACCCCAGCTTGTTCTTAAAATCCCTGTAAGAAAAGGAAGATTGAATTAAATTAATTCTTCCCAGCATTTAAGGCAAATTTTTTCTAATGTCAGGATGTTAGGATCCTTTCTGGACAGAGAAGTTTGGGAGTAGATGACAGTGCTACTTGAGATCACCAAGGGCAGGCAGAGCTAAGCCTGGTGCTGGGGAAGCATGATGACCATGGAAAAGTATAGGCTGACAAGTTCTGGGATAATATGGTAAAATGGAGGGTGCTGTTGATAAGTAATAGTCATGCTTAGTGAATGCAATCTTTGCCATCATTGAACCACAGAAATAAACTTGAGACTGTGTAATGCCCTTGAGATGCCGGGGTGGCCCAGTCAGTTAAGCGTCCGATTCTTGATCTCTGCTCAGGTCTTGATCTTAGTGTGTGAGTTCACTCCCCATGTTGGGCTCCATGCTGGGCATGAAGCCTTATTTTTAAAAAATGGGGCACCTGTGTGGCTGAGTCACTTGAGTGTCTGACTCTTGATTTGAGCTCAGATCAGGATCTCATGGTTGGTGAGCTCAAGCCCCACATTGGGCTCTGCGCTGACAGCGCAGAGCCTGCTTGAGATTTCTGAAATCTCTCTCTACCTCTCCCCCATTCAGGCTCTTTTTCTCTCTCAAAATAAATAAATAAACATGAAAATAAAATTAGGAGCACCTGGGTGGCTCAGTCAGTTAAGCATCGGACTCTTGATCTTGGCTCAGGTCATGATCTCACAGTTTATGAGTTTGAGCCCCTTGTTGGGCTCTGTGCTGACAGCATGGAGCCTGCTTGGGATTCTCTCCTTTACTCTCTGCCCCTCCCCCGTGTGCGTGCTCTCTCTGTCTCTCCTCCCTCTCTCTCAAAATAAATAAGTAAACATTTAAAAAAAGTAAAAAACAAACAAAGGATGTGTAATACCATCACCCCTATCTCTTTATACAGCAAATTTATTATTGTAATCCCCTCGCCCCCCGTGAAGATTAACATTATTTGGTAATTCTTGAGCACTCACTTACTGATAGAAAATTTTAAATTGTGGTCAAGAATGGAAAGTGCCCCACAGAACATGTATCAACAGCTTTGAGAACATCTTACTCTTTATCTTTAATTTTTTTTTTTAACTAATGTTTATTTATTTTTGAGAGAGAGAGCTTGAGTGGAGGAGGGGCAGATAATGTGACAGACAGAGGATCCAAAGCAAAGTGGGGTGGGCTCTATGCTGACAAGCAGAGAGCCCAATGCGGAGCTTGAACTCATGAATCATGAGATCATGACCTGAGGTGAAGTTGGTCACTCAACTGACTGAACCATCCAGGTGCCCCTGTCTTTAATTCTTTTTAAGGAATCTGTCCTAAGAAAAATCTATAGTGTTTGTAGAGATTCAGGCATAAAAATGTTCATTGCAGGGGCCCATGGGTGACTCATTTGGTTGAGCATCCGACTTCAGCTCAGGTCATATCTCACACTTTGTGGGTTCGAGCCCTGCATCGGGCTCTGTGCTGACAGCTCAGAGCCTGGAGCCTGCTTTGGATTCTGTGTCTCCTTCTGTCTGCCCCTCTCCTGCTCATGCTCTGTCTTTCTCTGTCACTAAAAATAAATAAAGGTCAAAAATATAAAAAAAAAAAAGTCATTGCAACATTATTTATTATGTTGAAAATTATAGTCTGCTTTAATATATATTCAAGGTATATTTAAAGTAAACTTGTGGCTCATCTAAATATATATGAGTATATACTATGAGATATTATGATGTCATTAAAAAATGAGGTAATTAAAAAAAAAATTTTTTTAATGTTCATTTCTGAGAACACGAGTCGGGGAGGGGCAGAGAGAGAGAGAGAGAGAGAGGGAGATGCAGAATCTGAAGCAGGTTCCAGGCTCTGATTTGTCAGCACAGAGCCCGATGCAGGGCTCGAAACCATGAACTGCGAGATCATGACTTGAGCCGAAGTCAGTCGCTTAACCAACTGAGCCACCCAGGCACCCTGAGGTCATTTTTTAAAAGATTTTGCTTTATTTATTTGTTTATTTTTAAGTTTATTATTTATTTTGAGAGAGTGAGTGGGGGAGGGGCAGAGGGAAAGGGAGAAAGAGAATCCCAAGCAGGCTTTGCATTGTCAGCGTAGAGCCCAATGTGGGACTTGAACTCACGAAGCATGAAATCATGGCCTGAGCTGAAGTCAGGCACTTAACCAACTGAGCCATCCAGGTGCCCCAAAATTGTATTTATTTTTTAATTTAATTAAAAAAAATTTTTTAACCTTTATTTTTGAGAGAGAGACAGAGTTCAAGCAGGGGCAGAGAGAGGGAGACACAGAATCCAAAGCAGGCTCCAGGTTCTGAGCTGTCAGCACAGAGCCTGATGTGCGGCTTGAACTCATGAACTGTGAGATCATGACCTGAGCCAAAGTTGGACACTTAACCAACTGAGCCACCCAGGTGCCCCTAATTTTTTTTTTTTTTTTTTTTTTGAGAGCAAATGAGCAAGTGGGGGTGGGGGAAGGGGCAGAGGTAGAGAGAATCCCAAGTAGGCTCTGCGCTCAGTGCAGAACCCAGTGCAGGGCTCCATCTCCATGAGCCAAAATCAAGAGTCCGCCACTCAACCAACTGAGCCACCCAGGCACCTCTTAATTTTTTTTTTTTTAATATTTATTTATTTTTGAGAGAGAAAGAGAGCATTAGTGGGGGAGGAGCAGAGAGAGAGAGGGAGACACAGACTCCAAAGCAGGCTCCAGGCTCCAGGCTCCAAGCTGTCAACACAGAGCCTGACGTGGGGCTTGAACCCACAAACTGTGAGATCATGACCTGAGCCAAAGTCAGATGTTTAACCGACTGAGCCACCCAGGCACCCCCCAGGCACCTCTTAATTAAGATTTTACTTTTAAATAATCTCCGCACCCAACCTGGGGTTCCAACTCACAACCCCCAATATCAAGAGTTGCATGCTCCACTGACCCAGGTGCCCCTGGGTCATTAAAATATTTCTGAAGAGTTTTTACATGGAAAACTGCTTATGATGTAACGAAAGAAAGAAAACAAAACAACATTGGGGGCACCTGGCTGGCTCAGTCAGTGGAACCTGTGACTCTTGATCTCAGGGTTGTGAGTTCAAGCCCCATACTGGGTGTAGAGATTACTTAAAAAAGTGTGTGTGTGTGTGTGTGTGTGTGTGTGTGTGTGTGTCTACACACACACGCAATTGATTAAACAATGTGATGACACATATGTGTGTTTAATCACAATTAATGTGATTTTAGTTGTGTTAAAAAACACACGTATGGGGACGCTCAGTTGGTCAAACGTCTGACTCTTGATTTCAGCTCAGGTCATGATCTCAGTTCATGGGATCAAGCCCCAGGTGGGGCTCCCCGCTGACAGCATGGAGACTGCTTGAGGTTCTCTCTCTCCCTCTCTACCCTTTCCCTGCTCACATGCATGCTTACTCTCTCTCTCAATAAAAACAAAAACAAAAAAACCTAGACACCTATGTATGTAAACTTTAGTAGAAGAAAATATGCCAAAATGTTAGTTATCTCTGTGTTGTCGGATTCTTTAAATGGCAGTTGTTTTCTTTATAGTTTTCTGTATTTTCCACAGAAAAATGTTAATTTTTTCTTCAAATATTTTAATAGAGACACATTAAAAAAATTTTCATTACAGATGATTTGTATGCAGAAATCAGTGGTTGAAGGAAATTGGGAAGGAATACTTTTAACTTTTATTTTTGTTGTTCTTGGCCGGTTCTTTTTTGCCCAAAAAAACAAGCACATGCCAACTTTCCCCAAATGTAAAAAGGAATTAGAATGCTTGAAAGATCTTTAGTGAAAGCCAAGTCGTGTTATAACATAGAGTATACTATAATTAAAATACCCCATGGGTTTGTTCATAGCCTATAATAACAATCTCTTGTGAATCCAGTTATAAGGGCGATTTATAGTAGGGTTTAGTATAATCAACTTTGCTCTGTATTTATAGGAGAGTTGCTATCGATCTTTGCTCTGTGTTTATAGGAGAGTTGCTACCTTTTTTTTTAAGGAAAGAAATTGCTGAAGTTTTATGTCTCCAAAAGTGGCAACAGATCTTGCTGGTCTAGGAATACTAATACATCAAAATCTCATCACAAAATTCTTATTCCCCTGTAGCATTTCTCAGTTGTGCTGGGATATGAACTAGTCTTTTCCCTTTTGGGTTTGGTTTCAATGAGATTCTATGGGGAAACTCAGCTGTTGTCAGGAGTGTGGACCTAAAGCTTGGTGATAACGGGAAATGAGAGAATACTCATAATGAGCAGACTAGGAATGTGGGTGGGACCAATGAAAATTATAATCCCAATTAGAATTTTTGCAACCTAATGACTTAATGCTAATCTATAGAGTAGACTCAGCAACTTTGTCTCTCTTTGTCCCAGAGGCCTAGTTCCATCTAGATGAAGTGCAGGCTGAGCTGATACTTCTTGTCGTCTCCCTTTGCACAGGAAAATGATGGACTCCGGACAGATTGATTTTTACCAACATGACAAGGTTTGCTCCAATACCTGCAGAAGCACCAAATTTGATCTTCTTATCAGCAGTGCAAGAGCTCCGGTGCCAGGACAGCAGACAAGTGTGGTGCAGACACCCACTTCGGCCGATGGTAGGGGGTAGGAAACCACCTGAAAACCCACTGTGTTTTTTAGTAACACTTTCCCCTTATTTCTCTTTTGTGTTTCCTAATTTCAATTCTCATGAGCATTGTTGTCCCTGTAAAGTATGCTAATCTTGGGTACGCTTCCATGCTTTAGAAATAGATCTGTTTTCTCCTAGATGATTCCTGTTGGCCAGACCTCCTTCCGTGTTTCTTTCCTATAATGCATGGTGAACATTAGAAAGATGGTTCAGTGGTTATTATGCTTATTCAATGGTTTCACTTTGGTGCCACTTGGCGGATCTTTGAAATTAGATTGTTTTGAAAATCCTTTGCTCTACTAGTGGTCAAGGCAGGAAGGTGGATTAAAATAGTGAATGGTTTTCAACTGTTGAGCTGAGATGTATCAAAGATAATGTATGGTTGGCTGGACTGGACTCTAAAGACTCTGATATAAGGATCAAAGAGCTCTGCCTGGAAGGGATCCAGATAATCATGTTGAGGCTTCCTCACAAATGAGGCAGGATGGGCATACACTTAACTTTGGTATCACTGACCTTGGGATTAGAGCTCTCTATCTCCAGAGAAGATGGACTCATGTGAGATAATTATTAGGGATTCAGTTAGTCCCAGGGCACCTGGCTGGCTCAGTTGGAAGAGTGCGCAACTCTTAATCCCAGGGTCATGAGTTCAAGCCCCACGCTGGGTGTAGAGATTACTTAAACAAACAAACAAATTTAGGGGGAAAAAAAGGATTCAGTTAGTCCATCTGAAGACTTAGCACAGCTAAGATTCTTGGACTGTCTCAGCTGCTTCCAGAAGACTTACATATGTGTTTCACAGAGTCACAAGGACACTAATGGATATAAGGGAAGTACATTTTTAAAAAATGACCTCTCAAGGTTTCTTGTGGTCAGCTCTAATATTCTGTTAGTAACCACTGGGTGAGTAGAAGCCAAATCTCTTGGAACTTAAGTTCCCTTTAGGAAAGTATAAAATGTCTAGCTGTTTGAATTTTTGGTCATGTGATTCTTCCACTTGGAAAGTAAAAACGATGAAATTATTTACTTCCTTTTTATTTGGCAAAAATTTAGTTTTGATTGTCCATATCAATATTACTTTTTTGCTTCATTATTGATATCCTCTAGCATGGGGAGTCCATACTTGTCCGTATATCTACCTGGATCAGTTTGATTTTTCTCAATTGTCTTTGTTTAAAATCCTAATATAGGAGGGGTGCCTGGCTGGCTCAGTTGGTAGAGCATGCAACTCCTGATCTTGGGGTTGTGAGTTTGAGCCCCATGTTGGGTGGAGAGATTGCTTACAAAAATAAAAAATAAAAAAATAAGGGGCGCCTGGGTGGCTCAGTTGGTTAAGTGTCCGGCTTCGGCTCAGGTCATGATCTCGCGGTTTGTGAGTTCGAGCCCCACGCTGGGCTCTGTGTGACAGCTCAGAGCCTGGAGCCTGCTTCAGATTCTGTGTCTCCCCCTCTCTTTGCCCCTCCCCTGCTCCCCTCCCCTGCTCATGCTGTCTTTCTCTCTCAAAAATAAGTAAATGTTAAAAAAAAAAATAAATAAATAATAGGGGCACCTGGGTGGCTCAGTCGGTTAACTCAGCCTCTGACTTAGGCTCAGGTCATGATTTCACAGTTCATGAGTTCAAGCCCCATGTTGGGTTCTCTGCTGTCAGCACAGAGCCTGCTTCGAATTCTTTGTCTCTCTCTCTGTCTCTCTCCCCCTCCCCCACTCTCTCTCGAAGATAAACATTAAAAAATAAAATGTTATTATACAATATTAATAGCAAAATTTATTTTTATCTGTGAATCTGGTATTCATGGATCTCTTCTTCTCTGATTTGTTTTGGTCTCATTTCTCTTGCTTTCTCTTATATAGCCTGATAAATAAACGACAGCAACTTTTGATATTCTAGATGGTTAGTATCAAACATGCTTGTAGTAGGGCTCTTGGCTAAGCACCATACTTTTCTCTTAAATCATTTTAGATTCTTCTTATCCTTACTAAGTCTGGGGGAGCCAGCCTGGCAATCGTGCTCTCTTTCAGTCTTTCAAAAATATACCTGCTCAGGGAGCAAATTGCTCTTTTATGATTTTGTAAGTTATCTTTCACTTTCTATTCAGAGTAAGAAGAAAGCATTCTCTTTTGCAAGGCAGGTTTTCTTTAGAAAATTCAGCATTTGGGGCGCCTGGATGGCTCAGTTGTTTTAAGTGTCTGACTTTGGCTCAGGTCATGGTCTCTCGGGTTCATGAGTTTGAGCCCCGCATCAGACTCTCTGCTCTTAACGCAGAGCCTGCTTCAGATACTCTGTCTTTCTCTCTCTCAGCCCCTCCCCTGCTTGCACATGTGCACGCATTCTCTCCCTCTCTCTCAAAAATAAATAAACATTAAAGAAAAATATCCAATATTCATCCTTGCTTACAATTCTAGTTTTTAACATATGGACCTACAGGCAAAAGGCCAGAATGTTAAAATAACAGGGTTTTTTTTTTTTTTGTTTTGTTTTGTTTTGTTTTTTAGCTATATGAGATAAAGGATAGTGACTTTTTCATGAAATTCACTGACTTTACCTCTAATGGACTGCTTTTAGGTAGCATCACACAGATTGCCATCTCGGAAGAGAGCATGGAAGAGGCAGGCCTGGAATGGAACTCAGCTCTCACTGCTGCTGTCACCATGGCTACAGAGGAGGGTGTGAAGAAAGACTCAGAGGAAATTTCAGGTACTTTACTACGAGGCTGAGATATCTTGCAGGGTTTTGTGCCCCTTCTCACCATTATGATTATGGACACAGAAGGCCTCTTAATTACTTTTGCTGGTTTTTCTCATGCATATTAATACTAATTATAGCTGCAAACATTGTATTTTAATGCATGCAACAACAGCCCTGCACAGTCACATTTTACATAGGAAGAAATTGAGATTCAGAAGGGTTCAGCAGCTTGCCTAAGACCTGTCACACCAGCAGTAGTGTCAGAGCTGAATTCAGCTGTTTGACTCTGTAGTCCAATGCTTTTAATCCTGTCAGCCTCCAACTTTGGAACGTTTCTTAGATAAACCAAGTAGCAAGATGTTAGAAGAAAAAATTAGGTAGCAGGTGGTATAGAGGATGATGATTAATGATGATTCACTTACAGGGGACCAGGAGATGTTTCACATCATCCTCCATTCGTTAATTCACTTAAACAGTATTTATTGCTGCCTATTTTCAGTTGACACTGTTGCCAACATAGATGAAAAGGCATAGCCTCTGCCCTCAGGGAGCTTATAATCCCCCCTATTCAGCTGTCTCATTTTATTTTTGCAAGTATAGTACTAGAGGGAGTATAGTTGACCTTTGAGCAACGTGGCAGTTAGGGGCACCAACCCCCTGTGCAGTTGAAAATCTGTGTGTAAATTTTGACCCCTTCCCCGAAAACTTTACAAGCCTTACTGAAAACATAGTCAATTAGCATATGTTATATGTATTATATACTATAGTCTTACAATAAAGTAAGATAGATAAAAGAAAATGTTATTAAGAAAATCATAAGAAAAATAAATTTACATCACTTGTACTGTATTTAAAAAAAAATCCGTATATGAGTGAACGCTCACAGTTCAAACCGACTTGTACAAGGCTTAACTGTATATCTTTAATTTAATATCTTTATTGTTTAACTTTTTTTTTTTTTTTTAATTTTTTTTTTTCAACGTTTATTTATTTTTGGGACAGAGAGAGACAGAGCATGAACGGGGGAGGGGCAGAGAGAGAGGGAGACACAGAATCGGAAACAGGCTCCAGGCTCTGAGCCATCAGCCCAGAGCCTGACGCGGGGCTGGAACTCACGGACCGCGAGATCGTGACCTGGCTGAAGTCGGACGCTTAACCGACTGCGCCACCCAGGCGCCCCTATTGTTTAACTTTTAAGATATTAAAGACTATTTAATTTTAAATTATTTAAGTAAATAATATTTAATATTTGTTTAATGTAATATCTTTATTAGAGGAAGATACCTGCCCTCTATAGCCAGAGCCATGACAAATTGAGACAATTATCTCAAGTCCCTATGTTGCCAAAGAGGCCAAATAACTGGGTGCCAACTCAAGGAGGCAGCCGGTACCCTAAAAGCTTCTTCCCTTTTCCGAGAAATGGCCCAACAAGAAATTATTTCAAATTGAAGTAATTTCGAGTTTAACTTGAAGACATGTGCCTAGGTGTATGTAGCATCCCTTGTTTACCCTCTGTCTTATCCCTCTTGTGTCAGAGGACACTTTGATGTTCTGGAAAGGAATAGCTGATGTAGGACTGATGGAAGAGGTTGTCTGCAATATACAGAAGGAAATAGAGGAGCTACTCAGGGGAGTTCAGCAGCGGCTCATTCAGGCTCCCTTCCAGGTAACAGGTAAGTACACCAATTCTAGCAGTAGTGATCATTTTATTAAATGTTAACAAGTGTAGACAGATCTTGTTAGCCTCATGAAAACACTGGCATATAGGCATTATGATCCTAATGTTACAGATTAGGAAACTAAGGCTCATAAAGGTTGTTTGTCCATAATTCATAATGAGGTTTTGAACTCAAGTCTGGTCATGCTTTTTCCATAGGTAATTTTTGCCTTTATAAATGGTGCCAGAAAGCATGCTACTACATATATATATATATATATATATATATATATAGGGAGAGAGAGAGGGAGAGTGTGAGTCAGTCTAAAAATTGGGAAAAATCTATCTGGTTTTAGACAAGTCTCATCTTCTATTAGTTTAAGGTTTCCAGAACTATTGTGTTCACTTAATAGCTGTTTCTGAATACCCGTAGGGTTCTTGCTGCTGTGCATAATGTAAAAGGATGTTCTAATCATCTGATACAAAAGGGTCATGATGATGGGGCACCTGGCTGGCTCAGTCAGTGGAGCATGTGACTCTTAATCTCGGGGTCTTGGGTTTGAGCCCTACATTGGGGGTAGAGTTTACTTAAAAGAGAGGGGGGTCATAATGATATCTCATAACCTTGTGTGTCAGTGAGATCTTAAAGTTGTTAGTTGTGTCTTATTATTATCTTATTGTGTCTTTATAATTCATACATTATATAAATACACTTAAACTTTACAGTAAAACTTTATGTGCTTGGAGTGTAAAAAAAAAAAAGGCAAGTAATATAGAAAGCAGGGATGACTCTTTTAGATAGGGTGGTCAAGGAAGGTCTCATGTGACGAGCTGGGAGAAGAAACATTCTAGGCAGAAGGAACAAAGACTTCGAAGTTGCAATAGGCCTGATACGTTTAAAGCATTATAGAAGCTCTGATTCCACCACAGTGGAATAAGATACAAAAGTGATAGGTGATGAGGCTGGAGAGGAATAGGGAGCAAAGTTTAGATAAGCTTTGTTAGAACTTTGGTTTTATTTTAAGGTGATGCTAAGCCATCATACTGATTTTGAGCAGGAGAGTGATGTAATAAGATTTATATTCTTAAATTTTTATTAGTATTTTTTAATGTTTATTTAATTATTTTGAGAGAGAGGGAGAGAGAATGGGAGCAGGGGAGGGACAGAGAGAGGAAGAGAGAGAGACCCAAGTAGGCTGCACAATGTCAGCACAGAGCTCTACCCAGGACTGGATTCCACAAACTGTGAGATAACCTAAGTTGAGATCAAAAGCTGGACACTTAACCGACTGAGCCACCCAGGCGCCCCTATTTTTTATTTTTTAAGTAGGCTTCATGCCCAGCGCAGAGCCCAACATGAGGCTTGACTCACAACCTTGAGATCAAGACCTGAAGTAAGATCAAGAGTCACACACTTGGGGCACCTTGGTGGCTCAGTCGGTTAAGCATCCGAGTTTGGCTCAGGTCATGATCTCATGCTTTGTGGGTTGAAGCCCCGTGTTGCGCTCTGTGCTGACAGCTCGGAGCCTGGAGCCTGCTTTGGATTCTGTGTCTCCCTCGCTTTGTGCCCCTCCCCTGCTCACACTCTGCCTTTCTCTCTCTGTCTCTCTCTCTCTCAAAAATAAATAAACGTTTTAAAAAAAAAAAAAAAAGTCACACACTTAACTGACTGAGCCACCCAGGTGCACCAGATTTATTTATTTATTTACATACATAAATTTACAAATATACAATTTACAAATATAAATTTTTTTAATGTTTATTTTTGAGAGAGAGAGAGAGAGAGAGAGAGAGAGAGAGCAAACGGGGGAGGGGCAAAAAGAGGGAGACACAGAATCTGAAGCAGGCTCCAGGCTTTGAGCTGTCAGCCCAGAGCTTGATGCAGAGCTTGAACCTACAAACTGTGAGGTCATGACCTGAGCTGAAGACAGATGCTTAACTGCCTGAGCCACCCGGGTGCCCCTCTTTATAATTTTTTATATATTTATATATTTTAGATTTTTAAAAGATCACTTTGGTTGCTATATGGAGAACAGACTGTATGGAGCAAGAAATCATTTGGGAGACTTCTGAAGGAATTGATCCAGACAAGAGATTATGGTGGCATGGATTAGGGTGAATAGTGGTAGATCTGGCAAGAAGTAATCATATCGGGGATATATTTTGAATGTGGAACTGACAGGTCTTGCTGATGGATTGGATATAGGGTAAAAGAGAAAGAAAGAAATCCAGGAGGACTCATACATTTTTGGCCTGAGCCATGAATGATGATACCATTTCCTGAGATGAAGATCAGTGGAAGAGGACATCAAGTTTTTGTTTTTGTTTTTAAATGTTTATTTTGAGAGAGAGAGAGTGAGAGCAAGCGAGTGTGGGGGAGGGACAGAGAGAGAAGGGGACAGAGTCTGTGGCAGGCTCCAGGCTCTGAGCTGTCAGCACAGAGCCTGATACGGGGCTTGAACTGACGAATTGTGAGATTATGACCTGAGTTGAAGTCAGATGCTTAACCAACTGAGTCACTCAGGCACCCCTGCTTTTTTTTTTTTTTTTTTTTTTTTCAGTTAGGCTCCATGCCCATTGTGGGGTTTGAGCTCGTGACCCTAAGATCGGGAGTTACATTCTTTTCCAACTGAGCCAGCCGGGTGCCCCTCAAAATTAGTTTGTTTGTTTTTAAAACTTTTTAAGTTTATTTATTTTAAGAGAGACAGAAAGACGGGCAGTGAGAGAGGGAGAGAAAGAATCCCAAGCAGGCTCTGCACTGTCAGTGTGGTACCCAACGCAGGGCTTGATCCCACGAACTGTGAGATGATGTCCTGAACTGAAATCAAGAGTCGGACACTTGGGTGGCGCAGTCGGTTAAGCGTCCGACTTCAACCAGGTCACGATCTCGCGGTCCGTGAGTTCGAGCCCCGCGTCCGGCTCTGGGCTGATGGCTCAGAGCCTGGGGCCTGTTTCCGATTCTGTGTCTCCCTCTCTCTCTGCCCCTCCCCCGTTCATGCTCTGTCTCTCTCTGTCCCAAAAATAAATAAACGTTGAAAAAAAAAAAAAAGAGTCGGACACTTAACCAACTGAGCCACCCAGGTGCCCCTTAAAATTAGTTTTGAGTTGAGACATCTGGCTGGCTCAGTCAGAGCATGTGACTTGTGATCTCAGGGTCATGAGTTCAAGCCCCATGTTAAGCATAGAACTTACTTAAAAAAAAAGAAAGAAAAAAATGATTTTTGACTTGCTAAATGCTTATGAGGCCTTCAAATGGAGATGTCACTGAGCTAGATGGAATTATGAATCTGGTATGCAGGAAAGAAGTCAGGGCTGGAGACCTGCATGTGGGAGTTCTCAGCATGCATGTGTTATTTAAAAGCATGGAACTGGATGAGATGACTGTGGAAAAGAGTTGTAGGTGGAGAAGTGATCTGAGTTAAGGAAGTAATGACCACAACTAATGACAACTCTTTCAAGAAGTTTTGTATAAAAAGGAACAGAGATAATACTATGAATAACCTTGCATACTAGTTCCCATTCCACACTTAAAATATGATATTTCTAATCTTCGTATCTGTCTTGCCAAGTAAGTATTATTAATCCCCTTTGTTTCTGATGAGAAAACTAAGGACTGAAATGACTTATCCAAGTTCATACAGATAGGAAGAAATTGTAAACCCAAGATTCAAACTTAGTTCTATCTAGCACAGTCACCGTGTTTTCTAAACCAAAAGTCATAACTTACAGCCAGATACAGGATTTTTTTCTTATTTTTGTATTTATTTATATGGAAATATGTATAAATTTGTAACAATTAAATCAAAGTTAATTATACATGTGATAAATCTTGGCTAATTTATTTTAGAAATGCAATTAGAATAGTCCCATCATTTCTGGGTTGTTTCATATTTATAAGCAGAACAACAGAAAGCTGGGGGAACACTTGCGTTTTAACTTGACAGGCATGTCTTTGTTTTAAATAGATGCTGCTGTTCTCAACAATGTAGCACATACATTTGGCCTGATGGACACAGTAAAGAAGGTTTTGGACAACAGGAGGAACCAAGTAGAGCAGGGAGAAGAGCAGTTTCTCTACACTCTGACAGGTGTGTATAACTTCTGTCTCTTCTTAGATGGTATTATACTAATATCCTTGAATCTTGCCATTTCCTTTTGGACTTCTGTTGGGACTGGCTTCTTTTCTTTCTTCCTCCTTCTGTATCTTTTGGAGGATTAAGATGTCTGCTCAATTTCTCCATTAATCCAATAACATTAGTGGCAGAAGAAACAAATTGGCCTTTGTCTTTGTTACATTATTGATACTGCATCTTTTGATAAATATAAATTTAGCACCTTCTCCATTATTTGCAGTAATCAGAACTTATGAACACATAAATAATTTAACTCTTTTTATCAAGTAATTAATTTGTGCTAGTGCCAGACTAGGTTTTAGAAATATCATGTTGACTGAGACAGCCCCACTCTCCACATGGTCTTTAAGTAATTCAAGGAATTATCAGTAGTAACTGAGGCATATAGTGGGTATGGTAGAAGAAGAAAGGGAGCTGTCACTTATACCTGGAGAGAATTAAGAAAAGGTTTTGGAGAGGTAAGGCAGGTGAAAAATATAAAACAAGTCAGAGGTATGGATTATCACCCTTTGAATGATGTAAGATATATTACTGTCATGAAGCCAAAAGGCAAAAGATTATTCAGCAAGAGAAGAACAATTTATGTTGTCTTAAATTTATTTTTATATTATAAAATATACGTTAAATATTTTAAAGTTCATTTATTTTGAGAGAGGGAGAGAGAGAACGAGCGTGTGCGTGCGCATGCGTAGGGAAGGGGCAGCGAAGGAGGGGTGGAGAGAGAGAATCCCAAGCAGGCTCCACAGGCTTAGTGTGGAGCTAGATGTGGGGCTTGAACCCATGAACCATGAGATCATCGCCTAATCCGAAATCAAGATTTGGACGCTTAGTGGACTGAGCCACCCAGGTGCCTCTTTTTTATGCTCTTTTAAACTACTTCCCAGAATTGGGGCGCCTGTGTGGCTTGGTTAAGCGACTGACTTTGACTCAGGTCATGATCTTATGGTTCATGGGTTCCAGCTCTGTGCTGGCAGCCTGGAGCCTGGAACCTGCTTTGGATTCTGTGTCTCCCTTTCTCTCTGCCCCTCCCCCACCTCTCAAAAATGAATAAACATAAAAAAAATTTTTTTACGGGCACCTGGGTGGCTCAGTCGGTTAAGCTTCCGACTTCGGCTCAGGTCATGATCTCACGGTTCTTGTGTTTGAGCCCCATGTCGGGCTCTGTGCTGACAGTTCAGAGCCTGGAGCCTGCTTCATATTCTGTGTCTCCCTGTCTCTCTGCCCCTCCCCCTGCTCACACTCTGTCTCTCTCTCTCTCAAAAATAAATAAACATTAAAAAAATTAAAAAAAAATTTTTTTAAACTACTTCCCAGGACTAAGCTTCAGGTTAAATGGTATTAACTATCTCTCTCTCTCTCTCTCTCTCTCAAAAATAAATAAACATTAAAAAAAAAGTTAAAAAAAAATCGGGCACCTGGGTGGGTCAGTCAGCTAAGTGTCCAACTTGGGCTCAGGTCATGATCTCACGGTCTGTGAGTTTGAGCCCCGTGTTGGGCTCTGTGCTGACAGCTCAGAGCCTGGAGCCTGTTTCGGATTCTGCGTCTCCCTCTTTCTCTGCCCCTCCCCTGCTCATGCTCTGTCTCTCTCTGTCTCAAAAATAAACATTAAAAAAAATTTTTTTAAATGGTATTAAAATTTTTTTAATGCATTTTTGTGACCTGTTGCCAAATTTCCAAGATTATACCAACTTATGTCACCATTTTGAGCACACAAACATTGGATGCTGTTACTTAAAATATTCTCTGATTTAACTTTTTAAAAAATTATAGATGTAGTTGTTATCTTCTTGAGGTTCACATTTCTTTGCTTACTACTGACAATGGAAAAAATGCAGTATTTTGTAACTTATAAGGCAGTATTTAAAATTTTTTGAATGTTCTTGATTCCTACTTACTCCTTTTATTCCAAGCAAGGAATTAACTTGCTCTTGGTGTTCCAAAGGGAACAAAGTGCCCTACAGTTGTAACTGATTATTTGTTGAATGCTTCTCAGGTACTAAGCAATAGAGGAAGTTCTGGTATAGAACCAGACTCACCAGTGGTCACCAGGTTGGATTGTACATTGGGAGAGGGATAGTGATAGACATATTGTGGTGGGAAAGCACACCCACCACTTCTGTGGTTGGTCATCAGAAGACTTTTGCCTTGGCCCAAGTTCTGAGACCTTAAGTCACTTTACCCCTATGGATCCCTGTTAAAATTAATGTGTTAAAGGGGTGCCTGGTTGGCTCAGTTGATTAAGTGTCCAACTTAAGCTCAGGTCATGATTTCATGGCTCATGAGTTCAAGCCCTGTATTGGACTCACTGCTGTCAGCACAGAGCCCATTTCTGATCCTCTGTCCCTGTCTCTCTCTGTGCCCCATCGCCCGCTTTCTCTCTCTCTCCCTCTCTCTCTCTCTCTCTCTCTCAAATAAACATTAAAAAAATAAACTCTAAGACCTCTTTTAGTTCTGTAATTCCTAGAGACTTCTGTAACTTTCTGTATACTTCTCTGGGTGCTAATGGTAGACTAAGACCATTGGTAGACTAAGATTACCAGAGAGATGATCCTGTCTTGAAAAACAGTTTAGGAATCATTTGTTTTGTTTTGTTTTGTTTTGTTTTGTTTTGTTTTGTTTTTTGGGTGGGGGGGAGCAGCCATTGTAGCTCCTCTGTAGGCCCATGTTAGTTCCAAAGGGATTGTGCAGATACTCCTTATTTTCACCTATAGACCCAAGGTGGGTATCTATAAGCTGTAAAATCAACTGGAGGCTTGTTTTGCATTTTGGTGACAGGTGACAAAATGCCACAGGTGCTTCTAGGGTTGAGCTATAGTAGGATCACAGCCCGAGAAAGATTCTGAATCGTTGCCCTGCCTATAATCAAGTAATGAAATGCAATGGCTGCAAGGATTTTTTAAATCATCCAGTTTGGTTTCTTCTTTTGAGAACAATGAAGCTACACAGTGGCAAAACCAGAACAAGACCTCAGGTTTCCTGACTCTGTTTACTCTCTCCAAGACTATACTTCTCTCCATACAAAGTCTGTCTTTTTTTCCACAGAGTTGGAACGCCAGTTGGAAGAGCAGAAGAAGCAAGCTCAGGATCACAGGCTGAAATCCCAGACCGTTCAAAATGTGGTACTGATGCCTGTGAGCACTCCTAAGCCTCCAAAAAGGCCCCGGCTCCAGCGGCCAGCTTCTACCACAGTCCTGAGCCCTTCTCCTCCGGTCCAGCAGCCTCAGTTCACAGTCATCTCACCCATCACCATCACCCCAGTGGGCCAGTCATTTTCCATGGGCAATATTCCAGTGGCCACCCTCAGCCAGGGCTCCAGTCCTGTGACTGTTCACACACTGCCTTCTGGCCCTCAGCTCTTCCGCTATGCCACAGTGGTCTCCTCTGCCAAGAGCAGCTCACCAGACACAGTGACCATCCATCCTTCATCTAGCTTAGCACTGCTAAGCTCCACTGCCATGCAGGATGGGAGTACCCTGGGCAACATGACCACCATGGTGAGCCCCGTGGAGCTGGTGGCCATGGAGTCCGGCTTGACCTCGGCAATCCAGGCTGTTGAAAGCACCTCGGAAGATGGGCAGACCATCATTGAGATTGACCCAGCCCCAGACCCAGAGGCTGAGGATACTGAGGGCAAAGCAGTTATTTTGGAGACAGAGCTGAGGACTGAGGAGAAAGTTGTGGCTGAGATGGAAGACCACCAGCATCAAGTCCACAATGTGGAGATTGTGGTCTTAGAGGATTAACTGGGGATCTCAGGGCCAGGAGATATGCTTTGGTTTGGAATTTTAATTATTTGTTTATTTTTATCATTGTCCCACTCATTTCCACATAGGATCCTTTTTTTAAAACAAAATCTCATTGTTCTAACTGAAAATGTTGGGTCCCTCCCTCCCCCTCATTGAAAAACGGACAAAAACAAGCTGTCCGTCCGGAAGTTGAGAGTAGGTCACTCAATGTCTAAATCCTTTTACGCAAAGAAAGTTAGTTCTTTTAGGGGAGGCATCAAGACAACCAGAAACCCTGTCCGGAAAGCCCTTTCCAGGCTAGTCTGTCTGTGTACACGTGCGGTTTTATTTTTGTAAAGATGCATTGGCCAAACTCTGGGACGCAGATCTGACACTGGAAGGCAACCCACCTGCACATGGATGCAGAGGATACTTTATTTTGTATCCTGGAAAGGGCCCTCAGAGGCTAGTGCAAAACTCTGAAACAAAAGCAAGTTGAACTGTGCTGGGAGGGGAAGGTGGCATACCAGCAGCAGCTTGAAAAGGGAAGTGCTTTGGTCAGGATGGGGCAAGGAAATTATCTTACTTCCAGAAGTGCAACTGATGCTTTTTGATATCTCTAAGGGGTTACTACCATGGGTGCCATTTTGAGGAGAGGCCAGTAATAAGTGGAAGGGTATATCTCCGTGGAGCAAGTGGCATCAGGGGCCTGGGGCCTGTGACTTTGCAGAAATAGAAATCTGGGTTTCAAGCTCATTTTCCCCTCCTTCCCCAATTTTGTCAAAGCACTTAACCCCCCTAAACTAGGATCAATCCATTCATTTGCAAACTATGTGATGTGGTGTAAATTTCTCTGGTTCCTGGACTGTGGCTGTCATGGAGGTGGGGCTCCAAGGCCATAGTTTTTATTGCATGACTCCGGGTGCAGGGTAGTTCCTCATCCAGACCAGCTGCCCTTTTTGGTGGGGCCCTTTTTTGGCTTTGGAACCAAAAGCAGCCACTCATTTGGTGCTTCCTCTTGTTCTCCCTTCCATCCCTCAACTGTTAATGGCATCTGTCTCCTGGATCCCACGCTCTTCAGCTTTTTGGCTGATTTGGAGAACAGTGACAGGTGTCTGCCTGCCTTCATCCTCCTTTAGATTCATTTATACCACAGATGTTTCTGTGAGATATTGAGCTCTTAAAAAAAAAAAAAACAAAAAACAAACAAAAAAAAACACCTTAGGCTTGGCAGAGAAGACTCAACAGCCCCAGCCTATCCTGAGGCAACAAGTAGATGTCTCCTCCTGAGCGAGCTGGACTCCCTGGGAAAGAAGCATTGTCTGCAACATTATATTATAGGAAATGTACCAGGAATGTCAATAATAATATCTTTGGGGGGTGTTGTTATTATTATTATTTTTTTATGTTGTTTGTATGTTTAGAGCTGGGCCATTTTCTGTGCTGTGATTCCTGCTCTTTGACCATTTTCAGTGTTTGGGGCAAGAGTGGACCCTGGTTTTTTATTTCTTTGATTGCATTGTTTACTGCACTAGATAAAATATAGGGAAACTGCAGACAATTTAAAGGAAAAAGAGGTCAAAAAGAAAGCACACACCTTAGGAGTGGGAGGTTTTTTTGTTTTTGTTTTTGTTTTTTTAATTAAAAGCAAAACTTTGGCTTATAGTTTCCTTTTTTTTTTTTTTTTTTTTAAGAGGGCACCCACTTGAAGCCATGTTTCTTCCAACAGATGTTGGAAACCTTGTTGTCAAGCAAGTGAAGACTGCATTCTGCCGTCTTTCAGATGGCTTTAATAGCTAAAGAAGCTCTCTAACTTGGGAGGGCAATCTTAAAAGCCTTAAGGGTGAGATTTCTTAACCCCATATAATTGTGGCTTTCAGCTTTAAAATTGTCTGGGGTTTTACTTTTCTCTTCAAAATGTTCAATAGATGTAGCAATCAGCTTAGAACAAACCTTTGGCCCTTTAGCGAGGGAAGTGGCTTTTATTATTGCTTCTTTAGGTTTTCTGATGGTACATAAACAAAACCAAAATTTCAGTTTAAGCCTAAAACTGCTACTTGACCCTAGGAAGGCACATGTCACCCCTATCGTGGTTTTTAGGGACACTTTTCTCTTTCCCAGAGATGCAAGGTCCGATTCAGGACAGAGGGGGAGCCCTGGAGAACACCCACACACTAGCTCAGGTTCCTTTCTTTCTTCTGTCAGCTGTTGTTGGTAGTGTTTTAAAGCAGTGTGAGCATCATGCTTCCAAAGTCAAGAGATCTTTTCCTCCTAAAGACAGAGCCTGTTTACTTGCACTATCTGAATATTCCGGCTGGTGGAAATACACAAGCTTTGTTGTTTTCCTGGTCTTCCAATAGCCTGTCATTATTGCTAGCTGCTGTGGCACCTGTTGTGTGGGGGTTTCCTCAGAGCCCTGGTCTAAATGATCTCAGACAGCGTGAGAAATATGCAAGCCATTGGTATGTGCACAAGCAGTTGCAATGAATCATTCCTCAGGCTGACTTGGCAGTAGCCATCTATATTTCTGTTCATTCATTAAATAAACATTTATAAGTACCATCTACGTGCCAGGCTTTGTGCTAGGCACTGGCAGTACAGAGATGAAGACAGAGTTCCTGCACTCAAGGACTTCATACTTCGGAGGTTGTCTGGAGTTAAGAACTATATTTCAATTTACCGTTTATTTTATTTTATTTTTTTTTTATTTTTGGGACAGAGAGAGACAGAGCATGAACGGGGGAGGGGCAGAGAGAGAGAGGGAGACACAGAATCGGAAACAGGCTCCAGGCTCTGAGCCATCAGCTCAGAGCCCGACGCGGGGCTCGAACTCCCGGACCGCGAGATCGTGACCTGGCTGAAGTCGGACGCTTAACCGACTGCGCCACCCAGGCACCCCTATATTTCAATTTAATTGGTTTCTTTGGTAATCTATGTATTTTATTCCATGCACTGAAAAACATTGTTCTGCAAATTAGCCCATAGGTTTCGACAGACTACGAGAGGCACAACAAAGTTAAGCCTTTTCTAGTGAGATACTGAAACATCATCATATTGGGGTAAGTGCAGCGATAGAGCTACTGGCTGGGAGCTGAGAAGAAAGGATCAGGGACCTGACCCAGCTTAGGGACAGGGGTCAGCAAATATGGGAGTACTTCCTGGAGAAGGTGTATACCTAAACTAATTTAGCAGAGACCATTTTTGGCTAGGTGTTTTTTTTTTCTTTTTTTGTACTCTATTTCAAGTAGTTGGTCTTATTTATACAAGAGGGGGAAAAAATCCTTAGTCTTTTGCTGCCTCTGCCTCCAGAGCTAGGCAGAATCGGCAGCATGGGCTGTCTCCTGAGAGCATCCCACTGGGAAAAGCCGAGTCATGCGTCAGCTTCTCAGAATTTCCATCAGAGGAATCCAGTGCCGGACTGGAGGTTAGCTGGTAGAAGGTAAATGTCCCAAACCTTTCTGCCATGTGGTTTCCACAAAGGCCTTGGAGTCAACTGTACAACGGTCATACCTTAGTTATGTCCCTCCCTCATTCTTCTCCTTTCAATTGCTAGGCTCCTTCCCTATTCCCACCCCAAAAAACAAAACAACTCCCAGTTATTCTGAAGTAAAAAAAATGGACAATATACTTGAATAATCAAGATTCAAAGCCACTTCACATGAAGTTTCTTGCACGCTTCTGTCCACATTAGGGAAGGAAGACTAATGTTAATACAATTATCTTGGAAATTGATACTCAGTTCAGGTGGTCTGCCACTGTGGTGGTGGCATTTTATCCCGTTTCATGAAAGGCCCTATGGTAAGTCTGTGTGGTAACATCTGATTATAAAGATAGTATAATCAAGCATGAGATACAGAATTATCAGTTCACTGAATTATAACTGGTCCAGGTTTTAGCACTATTAAGGAGGTGGAAAGGATAAAGAAAAGGCTGAATTCTGAAAATAGGCATGAGGTTGTGATTCACTTTGGGCAATACTCCTGAGGAAATCGTCCTCTCTGAGAAGAAATTCGGATGCTAGGCTAGCCTGCATTTTCAGACAATTTCCCTAGTATAGTTGATTACGGATTCCCTCACCCCTAGGATACCTCTTGGGGAAATTCTTACCTAGTTTGTAATGTATTACAATAACAACCAAGGTTGTTACCTGAGACAATCAATTCTGCTAGATTTGGACTCTTTGCCCCTGGAATTTCTCTTCAGCAGCCCTAACTGCTGAACCTTTCTAGGATTCCCTCCCAATCCCGGAACAACTTTCTTAGTCCTGATGTATACAATTTAACTTCCTCTAGAAGGTTCTATTTTCCTCTAACTTCCATTCCCATACTACTACTTCCCTGGCCCTTGCTTTTGGGAGCCAAAGGTGATTTAGTTCCTAAATTCTGCCATGTCAGTAATTCAACTTGAGACCATCGTTTTTGTCAAGGTACCTCCAAGAGCCAAACCTCAGTATACACCAATCATAGTCTGGGTCTTCTCTACTTAAAACAGCTTCCCTGACTCAATCAGCCACCTGAATTGAAGCACCTTTGGGATGTTCTTATGCAGTGGCTATAGGTAAGTTCTCCAGAACACATAGATTCTAAAACCTGTGTTTATTTTTTTTAAAGGTTTTATTTCTTAGTAATCTCTATACCCAACATGGGTCTTGAACCCACAACCTCAACATCAGGAGTCACATGCTCCACCCACTCAGCCAGCCAGGTGCCCCTAAAACCTATCTTTTATACCCAATTGATTCTGTATCTATGGCTCATGGTCCAGGCTAAGACATGCCTGTTTCCTGGATAGATTATTTCAGCCAAGTATGATTCCTACTGCCTCTTCACAACTACTTGAAATTTCTGTTATGTTTTACGAGCCTCTCAGCCTAAAAGTAGACTACAACCTGCTTTGAAATTGCCTCTGGGTTCTCCTCTTGCATCTGTGGTTTCCAATTCTGTATTCTTTACTGATAGTTATGGCTTATAATATGGTATATATGGATTTATTTTTCTAGTTTTGAGAACAAAAATGAACAATAGTATTGAATCACATCTAAGGATAAACATGAAGCTGGGTAATGACCCAGAGGAAAGACAAATTCCTTAACGGGCTTTGTAGGAGCTTCTAAAGAAAGCATACAGAGAGGGTTACTTGCATTTTGAAGTATAAGTTTGTTTTTTAAAAATTTCTCTGCTCTTTTCTTTAAAGAAATCTATGTATTATAGAGCAGACTGGAAGCCCAGAGCCCTGATTCAGCCTGAGACTTTGTTTGGTCCACATTTTTGTTTTAACTTTTTGTGAAATATAAATGCATATAGGAAAGTGCACAAATGACTGTACAATTTGAAAAGGTTAAACTACACACACCCATGAAATCAGCTACTAAATCAAGAAGGAAAAAAAAAAAAAAAGTTACCAGCATCTTACCCAGCCAGGATAACCAACATCTAGCTCTCAACACCATAGCTCAGTTTTACCTGTTTTTGAATTGTTTTGTGACTGGTGTTTTCTCACTCAGCATGATGTTGTAAGATTCACCCTTGATGTTGTGTGAAGTTGTAATTGGTTCCTTCTCATTGCTCTGTAGAAACTAACTGTGCCATAGCTGATCCATTCTAATGATGGGTGCTTGGGTAGTTTCCAGTTTGGGGGTATTACAGATAATGCCTCTGAACATTCTTGTACATGAGTTTTGATGAACATATATATGCATTTATGCCTACATAGTCTTTCAAACATTAGGCCAGTTCACATGTAAAATTCAAAATTCAAGATACACCTCTTTAAAAAACAAAAACAAAAAATATAATAAAAAAAAAAAAACCCAGAAGAACTGACAACACTGGGTCCATATTTCCTCACAGCAACACTTGACTGGAACTGATTCCTGTCTCTGGTGGGGCATGGTTTCTTCACCATGTGACCCTGTTCCTATTATGGACCTAGACTTTCTTATTTGGTAGCCTGTTTTTTTGATTCAGTAATCTCTTAGGACACTCTTCCCCCAGATAATTGCAAAGCTTATTTCCTCACTTCCTTCAAGTCTCTGGTCACATGTTACCTTATCAGAGAGGACTTCCTTGACCACCCACCCTATTAAAAAATGGCAACTTCCCCTGCACTATGCTTTCTAGTTTTCTTTACCCTATTTTATTTTCCTCCATTTTACTTATCTGACATACTTTTTTTCCCCCCCTCCCCAAACTAGAATGGAAGCTCCGTGAGAGCAGGGGATCTTTCCGGTCTCTTACTCACTGCTGTTTCTACAGTCCCTGGAACAGTGCCTGGCATGTGGTAGAAGCTGAATAGATATTTGATGCATGAATACTAAATAGCCAATACTCATTGAAGGGGAACTATGTACCAAGCATTGTTCTAAGCACTTTACATTTGTTAACCCATTTGGTCCTCACAACAATCCTATGTGGTAGATAACATTATTTACTTCATTTTACAATGAAGAAACATATTTACATTCTACTCTAAACAATAGATACATTGGAAGCATTGTAACTCATGAAATTTATTAAACAGAGTCTTTAAATGTCCTACAGAACTTAATACCTAAAAGGAGCCCTTCAATGAATCATTTTATAATAATGGTGTTTTATTTGAAGACATGTTTAGTTACTACCAAAGTTAAAATTTTCAGTTGTAGGACTGAGTCTTGATCAGGCTGCAGCTTGGCTAGGATTGCAGAGATCTGGGGCAGTGGTAGCTGATAAGATTTTGTGATCTGTGCTAGGCAGCAAGTCCCCTGTGCTGTCTCTCCAGAGTTCCAGGGAGGAAGTACTGATGGGAGGGAAAGTTCACTTAATGAAGGATTTTAGAACCCAGATCATCTGTCAGTCACAGGAAGTACTGACTTATCACACTTACATTTCTATGTATCTGTGTAATCTCTATGCCCAATATGGGGCTCAAACTCATGACCTGAAGATGTAGTTGCACACTCTATTGACTGAGCCAACCAGGTGCCTCTGACTTATCACTTTGTTAATGGCCCTATTTGAGATGTTGCCGGTGTCAGGGTCCCTGCTTAGAACTCCTTTCTTTCTTTGTTAAGGTCCTCCTCTGTGGAGCCCAACCCCTTGTGCCAGTTGTTACATAGGATCCCTACTCCATAGAACATCGATAGCACTGTAAAGCCTTTGCTAACTGAGCAAAAAGCAAATATTCCCTTGGTCCAGGAACAAAATGGAACTTTTATGCCACAGAAATGCTAGATTCACACTGCTTTTGACTGAGACACTCCGGTTAGCCTTTCTGAGCAAACTGGACTCATATTCTTGCCTTGTTTAAATTCTCTGTAGTTCCCACCCAAGGACCAAGGAAGGATTTATCTGTAAAACATTGTCACAAATAGTTCAGACACAGTCATTGGTTTAATTATTTTTTCTTGGCACAAACTTAAAATTGAACCAGCCCTCCCTGGCTTCATTTCCCCTTGGCATTATCTCCAGAAATCTCATTTGCCCTCCATTTTTCTCTCTGATTATCAGATTGAGACTGTAGCTGTTCCCTGGTACACTGCTACTCAGACTTTTAGGTCTTATGTATCAATAAAAGAGGGGAAA